TTGGTGGCTGGAACATTTGACAAGAGGGTCAGCATGTATGACACCAGAGGTGAGGGGTTGAGCCTATAACAGTCCATAAAGCAATCAAAGGTCATTAAGAATGTGATAATAAAACATCCAACTATTAATCAATATTATAATTATTTATTAAACACCTTTTTACAAAGTCGAATATCAAAGACATTTAGAAGACAAATCACATACATAGATAGATATAAACTTTATTCATCCCAATTGTTATAGTTCCTGAATTTATGCTATAATCTTTTCCACAGCTGCTGAACCTCTGGTGAAAAGCATCCGTCTCCATGGCAACGCTGTGATGTGCCTAGCTGCAGATGACAAGTACATCATCTCCGGGAGTAAAGACTGCACGGTGGCTATCTATGACCGGAGGGCATGCAAGGGCTTGAAGAAAATTCGGGTATACACAATAACACACAGATGCCTTGATGTTTTTATAAAGAACATCAACCTGTAACCTTGAGTTCTTGAAGAAAACCATGTTTTTCTTGCATTCCTCCATGAAGAATCTAAAAGTCTTGATAACTGAACAGGGATTGTTTTTAACAACGCATTTTCTCTAAACCTTACTATTGACAACACTGAACGAGCACTGGATAAATGAGAGCTGGATTATACTGCATGATTTATGTGATTGTTTTTAAGTGAATACTTTGTTATGGTATTGCTGTTAAACATGGCCCACATTTTCTTCAATTCATCAAGCCTTTCTCCGTTGTTAGATTCTTTGTTTACAGTGGAGATATGAGAGAAAAAAAAGTTTTCTTCAACTGTTCGATGTAAAAGATATAAACATTGTATTTTTGTGGGTGTTGTATTTATTTTAGTTTGCTTATATGGTAAGATGCATCTGTGTACCTAACTTGCACAAACCCCTTTTATTTCTAGCTGAGCTCTTATCTGCTGTCCATGAGCTACAGTGGCTGTGAAGTATGGGCAGGGGACAACAGAGGTATGCTCCACTCCTTTTCCATGCAGGCGGGGACCCTCAAACCTCTGTCCCAGTTTGATGTGGGACACACAGCTCTGGTCACCGGCATCCACAAGTCTGCTGGAAGCCTCTACACCTGTTCATCTGATTGCACTGTCAAGGTAGGATGACGTATTCTTTTATAATAGAATGGCCTCTTTTCTGTTAGTATATTTCTTTGTTGTTGTTTTAGTTTTTCCTATTTTTTATTTAATTTTTTGTCATTAAGATTTGTATTCAATTTTTCACATTTTATGCATAAATGCAGAACAAACATAAACAAAACCAAAGGCATCCAACTTAGAGGAAGCAAAACGCCCCCACATCCATATGCACACACACATATACATCAACGTCAAGCATGTAAATACACATTTACAACATATATATCATATACACGACACGTATATATACATATACACATATACAGATACACTTCCTGTCCCTAGTACCCTGTACCTAAGACAATGTTGATATAGGCCAAGAAGATGTGCCACATTCCGTTAGATTTGCTTGGGATGTTATTTAGCGATCATAATTTCAAAGGCATTTTTTAAGCCATTGTGTAAACTCTGACTTATGTGGGCTCTTTCAGTTGTGCAGAATAATCCTGGCCACTACAATAACACCTGTTAGTCAGTCCTAGTTCTGCTTTAGTAAGGCCTGGTGGCACAAGAGACTTGTCCCCTAGCAAACTGGTAGAGGTTTTCTAAGCCACCCTTCAAGGTTTTTTAATACCACCTTCCAAAAAGGCAGAACCATTGGGCAATCCCATAGACTCTAGAGCAGGGATTCCCAACCTTTTTCCCCGAGAGCCCCCCCAAATTACTCCTGTTGGAAGTTGCGCCCCCCCCCACACACACACACACACAAGGGGGGGGGGGGGAAACAGCGGTAATTAAAGTTTAAAAGTCTCAAAATGCTACAACTACTGTCACAAACTGGATGAATGTGAAGTATTTTGTTAAAGGAGGATGAAAGCGTAATTTAAGGAGCACTATTGGAGTGACTTTGATGGTTATTGGACTCAGGATTAATTCATTTGGATTCCCGCTGTATGAAGAAATTAAAGGACGGCGCAAGTGGAAACAATTCACAAAGGGATGAAACTGTTTAAAACACATGCTCAAAGTAAGCCGGATTTTACCGATGTGTTTATGTGGATTCAAAAGTCGTAAATAATCTACAAAATGGAGGAGACCGATCTGATCGGAGCAACTGTGACAAATAATCCAACTGAAACCGGCATGGACAATGACTATGTTTTAAAAATGCGCTTATCCAGAAAAGCCTGGTTTGGACACTTTACGCGCAGAAGAAACATTTCTATTATATTATGTTATTATTATAGAAAATATTATGCATTTCTGTCTTTTTATACCTTTTTATTAGCTACTAACTTGAATTTGTATTAAAATTAATTAATCAATTATTTGTTATACTTTATTGTAATGTATACAATCATGTATTGTGTAACAATTATATGTTAAAAAAAAGAAAGAAAAAGTTTTACAAAAAAAAGTAAAAGAAAAGGTCTTAAATCATCTGAGGCCTGGCGCACCCCCTGCGATGTTTGGGATCCCAGGTTGGGAACCACTGTTCTAGAGCATGAAGAAATGTGCCCACATCTTTATTACATTCCCAACATTTATTGTCCAGAGTTATAAGCCCATTTTAAACAATTTCAGGGGTGTAAAATAATATCTATGCACAATTTTATAATGGATAAACTTGCTTCTCGCATGCCTTGTAGCCCAACCTACATTCAAGCCTATTTTGTTTTTTGTAAATGACTCAATGTGATTGTTGATAAACATTAACTTTCCATGGTCTCATGAGTGTTAATAAAGGTTGAATAAATGAAAAAAATCTCATTACAGGTACATATCCCTTGTGCCCCTCCAAGGACTGTTTGCATAATGCCTCACCAAATGGGAGTCAATGGGGTTAGTATTCAAATGTGTTAACCTTTTAAAAAGGATGTTGTTACTTTAATTAAGTTAATTTAACAAAGCATGTAATGTAATTAGCTGTTTGATCTATTTGGGAAGGAGAGAAAACATCTTTATCAATGAAGAAATAACAACAAAATAGTAAAAAAGTTAACTTAAGCACACAAAGTCATAATGAATAGAATTCCTGCTGCCTGTCTGTTTTTCCTATGTATATTATTCCAGGCTCATTGTCATTCCTAAAATGTTTATTTCTTCCCTTATCTTCATCCTCTCACTCACTCTCCACCTGTCTGTCTTTGACTGTCAGCTGAGCGTGGAGGCTGGAGTCCTTGCTGTAGCTTCAGGGGAAGATTGTTTGGAAATATGGAGGCCCAGAAATTGAATGAGCAAGACCTGCAAACTACGAGACAAGACTTGAAAGCAGGGCTTAATAAGACCTTTCAGCCTGTAAAACACCATACTGGTCTTTTAGCATTTTAAACTAACAACAAATGCAAAACTCTGAAGATGTTAGTGACTTGACAAAATGACCACAAAAAGTTAGGACAGCAAATGATTCCAATTGAATCCTTCGTGGTACATATGTCCAAACAAAGTATTTTATTCTGCTGCAGTAACACACACAAATGTTCTTGGAAATATGCATTACCAGTTGCTTGGTTAAGCTTTAAAAGTTAATTTATTTTTGCTCTTCCATGTGTTGATGTATGATGGTTGAGAAGTTTAAGGCCCCTTTTTTTTAGCCAAAAGCTCTCGGCCCTTTTTCTTGAATTCTTTGTTAAACCTGTTGAGAATTTTCTCTACAAACAAAACTATAAATATGTAAACACAGGAAACGTGTTTGTCTCATGCACTTATTTACCTTTTGTGCCAGTAGACTTCAAAGACACTTTGTTTGAAGTGTAAAGTGAATACTTGTATCCAAGCTCTCTGTGACACACGGATTATATTTGTAAATCTTTTTATATGAACACACTCCTCAGTTTGAGTCAGTGTGATCTGTTTGGAAGTTATGTCGACCTTGTGTGTTAGTTTGTGTGTGTGTTACTTTATAAAAAGTATTGAATTGCTTGAATGAATCCAACTATACATTATTTGCACAATACTACACATTTCCATCCATTAAAGAAATTACCATTAAATAGCCTGGAAATCTTGTGTCTGAGTTTTTGGCTGCATGTGTTTTCTGCCTGATGGGGAGTTCTGATGTCATGGCTTTATGCTAAATGTGTAAACACAGCTAAAATACTATACTTGAGTTACCCATGTAATAGTTAGATGATGAATCTTTTAAGCGCTACTTAATGTGTTGTGTAAAGAAGCAACAATACTAATGCATTTAAGGGTACAAACAAGTGTTGTCTTTAATTTAGGCTTAAAATGCATTGTCTACTAGATACTTAAGGAAAGGAAACAAACAACAACAGTGTAATGGTTTGTGCAGTCTCAGTGGCAGGAGATTAATCTTCTCACTAGAAGGTTATCTTTAAAGGTAAACAATTATGCAAAATCCACTTTGTCATGTCTTTTATACATCAACATGTGTCCCCTCTGTGTAAAGAGATTCACTCTCTTTTTGTCCTGATCCATTTCTATAAAAACCTGTCTGAAAATGAGCTGATCAGATTTTGGCCACTTTATGATGTCATTACGATGTTTTGGCTTGTGTAACCATTAGCCAATCACCAACCAAGGTAACCCCCCCCCCCCACCTTATCACCTGAATCTCCTCCTAGAGCACCTTTGTGTTCTTTTTAACCAAATATCTCTCAGAGGGGCGTGGGGAGTGGCTCCTTATTTTCATCTAAAGTAACAGACAGAGAATCAGCACTTTTGAAACAGGGCTGAAACAGAGGGGATTATGAGATGCTACAATAATCTGTTTGGTATTTGGAGCCAAACACTTCAGAGACATGTTTGTATATATCTGAGACCTATAATATATTGATGTAAAAACAGTATAATAGGGGACCTTTAACATATTTGACTGTAAAAAAAAAGAAGCAGTTGCTGTCTGTGAGATCTGTGTTGATAATCTGTCCTGGAGGCAGTCAAAGAAGCACGCAGGTCTTCTTATCTTTGAAAGGATTGGAGGAGGCAGCGATGCCGGTGAGCAGAGGGTCGCTGCGCCGGTGATCCTGACAGAACCGCACCAAGTCTCCTGCTGTCAGGGAGATCTGCTGGGAGAAAGGTGGACAGGGTGGAAATTCACAGGCTTTCAGGCATTCGGATACAGTAATATTTATGTTAAACTATTTGACATTGTTTTGAACAAATAGTGACTTGGAGGTATAATCGTTTTTTTTTAAAGTACACTAAGAATACATTGTGTCCCTACAGGTGCACATAATTACTGTACATAAAGAGTGCTATTCTGGATTAAATTACTGTATTTATGAACCATTACTAGTGCTGCTAAGAATGTGGGATAACATTTCATTGTACTCCAATAATTTGTGGACACAATTAAGCTGTACTTTTGACTCAAATTGTATTTTAAACCCCTTCTGAGATAACTATTAATACAACATACGTGAAACAAAGCTACCAAAATGTACATTTGAAGTATAGTTTAGAATGACACATTGTCCTAAATTATAATGAAGATACACTTAAAAGTTAGAATAAAGTGAATCATTACTGATGAGTTAAATTAGGATTTCTTCAAATATATCAAAGTGCATCTAAATGATGGCTCAAAATAGTTAATCAATAGTCTTAACTTTGGTTTCATATATCTTGAGTAGCACAAATGATGTAGCAATATCAGGAGTATATTGTATTTATGCAAGAGTCAGCACATTTATCATGACTATAGCTAAATGAAGTCTTGTTCAGTGTGCTTTGATCCACCTGGACGTGATAAAGCATGCATGTAGTTAACATATTCTTCAGAATTGTACATACCTTTATTCTCTCCATGCACGCCTCCACTCGAAGTTGATCCACCAGTTTTTGTGCCTGAATAACACTGTTGCTGCTGTGTCCTGACATTGCCTTCTGTGTACAGATTCAGCCAAAGTCCTGATAACTCGACTAAATATCCTTCTTATTTTATGAATAAAAAAGGAGCAGCAGGAAAAGGATTTAGGGCAATATTTTTCCAAATCCAAAGAGTTGGCACGGATTGTGCAGGAGTCAAAAAAGCTCTTCTTTGTCACCTGTAAAGTGACCCCTTTTTATTCACTGTTGGGGGCAGTTCAAAGGCTCTGTGATACGAAAGGTCGTACAGCACAGTGTTGGAAATGTCACAGACACCACTGATTCAATATTAAAGGCTAAAACATGATGCTATGTTTCGGGTCATTGCTGCAATATGTGCCTTTGCTTTTAACATTTGTAATACATGGGTTTGCTTATTGTAAATGCAATATTAGAAATCTCGAGGTTTTTCAATTAAAGATTCAAAGGCCTTATCGTCATATGCACAGTATAGCTACAGTGTAGAAATGGCAATGAAAATCTTAAGTACCAGGCTCCTCCAACATTGCAACATAGTTACTGTATACAGGACATAACACAAATAAAAAAATGTAAAATTAACAGAATGTAAAATTAAACAGAATGTAAAATTAAATATTGTCCAGTAAAATAAAAATAAAATACTGTTTATTGCAGTGATAACTATTTTGATAAATAAATAGTAAAATGCCAACAGATTAATGCTTTAGATTATGGAGGCACTTAACAGAGATCAGGCATGTTGTGTGTTAAACCTGTTTTAGCCTGTTAAGCCCCAAGCCTGTTTTTCAGGTCTCAGGCTCGAAAATGACATACCCAGAACAAATGACTATATCTTCACTTTTAAAAGGGGTAAATTAATAATCTTTTTTCTCAAAGCAATGATAAACCTGTGAGTTGGATGTAGAAAAGGCAGAATCAATATAGATGTTTTTATTTCAAAGTACATTCAGATTGAACATAGTAAAACAAATATTGTGTCCGTCCAAAAAAAAACCACATTACTTATAATGAAAACCATCCTTGAATGATGGGATAGTAGACAAAAAAAGCTTTAGGAATCCAAACTATAACACATAATAAGTACCCTGTATCAGGATTGATGCAAAACAAGTGAAATTTGACCTTTTTAGAGAGGTTTAGAAAATTGGGTGTATTTGCCATATCTCACTGGAACCCCTTCGGTCGAGCACTCTTTCGCTTCCGCGGGTGGGGCAGGGGGTTTAACACCATACACAGAAAAGGGACAGCATTTATTAATTTTGTTCACATTTTTGCTTTTGAATGAAATCAGCAAGAAACACTTTTAATTGTTATCCATTCAGTCACATGTGGGCTTATTAAAGATAACTGCTTGGAGGTCATTTCCACTTGCCTGAAACATTGAGCCAAAAAAATAATAATGTAAAGTGTGCCAAAGCCACCACAATCATAGTATGGGTTAATAAACACATTTATTTTTTTTTACAGAATATCAATAAATACAGACGCAAATAATGAACAAGTAATATAAACATTATGTCAGTAGAATTCATAGGTGAGCCTCTAAGCTTATTTTATCTATACTGTTGCAGCATTCAATGTTATTATTTACTGAAAATAAGTGGCTCGAAGGTTTGTTTAATAAAGGAAGTTAACTGGCCTAAGAAAGACAAACAATTGAAACCAAGGTACATGGATCCAGTCGCCTTTCTGTGTACTGGTTTCAGTGGTTCAGCCAAAAATACACGTTGGACATGTTTGTCCCTCCTCGCTCTCCGTAGTAGGATTTTCCATGCCGCAGGGTATCGTAGCCTGTATATAGGAAGCAGGAGACCCATGTGTTGTTTATATGCACTTTTGTGTCCGAAGCCAGCCGATTAATACAGAACCATCTTTAGCTGACGTCTCTTCAAAACAGGTATTTTATCAGCTCTATTTTCTATTATCTACTATGTGAGTCGATAGGACCAATCTAGCTCATAGTTAGCTTGTCTGCTAGCCAACGATCAAACGACATTATCTAAAAATAACTTCTTAAGTGAAGGACTGCAGTTTTTGATATTATTGCAAAAGACAACACATCTAAAAATGTTGTATACTTTGGTTGTTGTGTAAAAATGAAGTATACAGGTAACTCTTTATTCACATTTTAAATGAAATCTATGCAGTGTCATTAAAACTAGCTGCACATTTACCAGCTTTGATAAACACATTCATTACTTCTTTTGGTACTTTAAGTATATTGTGATGCTAATACTTTTGTACTTTTACTTGAGTAACCTTTTGAATGCATGACTTTGACTTGTAATACAGGATTCCTACACTCCTGTACTTCTACCTTTTCACAGGCTTTGTGTAAAGTTAAGGTTAGTTTATTATAGGATATTTCAGACACAAAGTTGATTCTATGTGCATTTGGTTCTGATGAGCTCTGGGGGGCTCGTAAAAGAGCAGTATGTCAGACACTTATTGTCATGTATGTATTGGGACATGTAAAGACACTTTTGCAGTAATCAAACCTGCTAAAAACAAAGGTGTGGACCAATTTCTCGAGATTGTCTTGAGACCTGAGTGTTTCAGTCTAGCTATGTTTTTTAGGTGGTAATATGCTTTTGTAATTCCTTTGATGCGGGTGTTGAAACTGATTCCCAAACTACACTGAGATTTCTGACATTGTTTGATGTCTTACAGTGAGATACATCAAACCAATTGTCAGGGACCAAGCAGTAAGGCAACAGGACACAGGAATTGTTTAAATAAACTGGGTTTTTTATTTCTCCAAAGATATTAAACAACTCTCCTGTTATCTCCATCAGAACAACCTTCTTGATCCGCACCTATGGAGTCAGATTTGGGTCAATATTCTAGCGCGTAAAACAAGCTACTCACGAGCGGAAAATGTGCTTTTACACGCGCATAAAATGACCCTCGCGCGCAGATTAAACCCCCGCGAGCGGCTCTGCGCTCGCTCGCGAGAGAGACAGTCCTCTTGCTTGCTCGCGGGAGTGTCATCCTCGCGGAGTCTGTCTACGCGCGCTTGAAAAGTTTCTGGCACTTTGGGGCGGAGCCACTGGACTTTGATTGACAGCTGCCAGGAAATCCGGGGTTGCCAGGTTTGATAAATGCCTGAACTACCAAGAGCCGAGCAGTGACGGCAGCAACATCTAGGTGCGTACAGCAGACAGTAGCTAGCAGTTTTCGACGGACACAGCCCACTGAAAAATATATCGTTTTATATCAAATTAATGTATATTACATTACATTACATTGCATTTAGCTGACGCTTGTATCCAAAGCGACTTACAATAAGTACATTCGACCAGGAAGACACAACCTTGAAGAAAACAGAATCATATATATATTAGCTGTACACTTTACGAATATAATAGTTTTTTATGGACAACTTTACCATTCAATCTCGTCCAACTGATTTTGCTGCCGTCACTGCTCGGCTCTTGGCAGTTCAGGCATTTATCAAACCTGGCAACCCCGGGTTTCCTGGCAGCTGTCAATCAAAGTCCAGTGGCTCCGCCCCAAAGTGCCAGAAACTTTTCACGCGCGCGTAGACAGACTCCGCGGCTGTCTCTCTCGCGAGCGAGCGCAGAGCCGCTCGCGGGCGCAGCGCCACTCGCGGGGGTTTAATCTGCGCGCGAGGGTCATTTTATGCGCGTGTAAAAGCACATTTTCCGCTCGTGAGTAGCTTGTTTTACGCGTGAGAATATTGACCCAAATCTGACTCCATACGCACCAGTCTGGTTTCAAGGCAGGTCACTCCACAGAAACTGCTCTCCTTGCTGTCTCTGAGGAACTGCACACTGCTAAAGCAGCCTCCCTCTCCTCTGTCATCATCCTTTTGGACCTGTCTGCTGCATTCGACACGGTGAACCATCAGATCCTCCTTCACACTCTCCAAGAACTTGGAGTTTCACGCTCTGCACTTTCCCTCCTCACCTCATACCTCGAAGACCGCACCTACAGGGTAACTTGGAGAGGGTCAGAGTCCGACGCTTGTCAATTAACTACAGGGGTCCCTCAGGGCTCTGTTCTTGGTCCCCTCCTCTTCTCCTTGTACACAAACTCGCTCGGATCGGTCATTAGCCCGCATGGTTTTTCATACCACTGCTATGCTGACGACACCCAATTAATTCTGTCTTTTCCCCGTTCTGAAACCCAGGTCGTCGCACGCATCTCTGCTTGCCTAGCAGACATCTCTCAGTGGATGTCTGCTCACCACCTCAAGCTCAACCTTGACAAGACTGAGCAGCTTTTTCTTCCGGGAAAAGAGTGTCCCACTCTTGACCTAACAATCAACATCGGCCCCTCCGTTGTTTCCCCGACTCAGACTGCAAGGAATCTGGATGTGACCCTAGATAACAACCTGTCCTTCACTGCAAACATTGCTGCCACATCCCGCTGCTGCAGATACACGCTTTACAACATCAGGAGGATACGTCCCCTCCTGACCCAGAAAGCGTCACAACTTCTGGTCCAGGCTCTCGTCATCTCACGCCTTGACTACTGCAACTCCCTCCTGGCTGGTCTACCTGCATGTGCCATCCGACCTCTGCAGCTCATCCAGAATGCAGCGGCTCGCCTGGTCTTCAACCTTCCTAAATTCTCCCACAATCTCTTTCGACTCCACTTCGAGCAATACTAACAAAGCACTTATATACTAATAAAGGACTGGCTTATCTATAGCCAGTTGAGTAGCACTTGAAATGTTTTGGCTCTATGAAACCTGATGTACTTATATGATTTGAAGTTTGTATCTTCTTGGTCGAATGCACTTATTGTAAGTCGCTTTGGATAAAAGCGTCAGCTAAATGCAATGTAATGTTAACAGAGAATACCTCAAATAAACATGGCATCCACTTAACAGGTGTTACCTCAACAAACTGACCTCGTACACTGACAAACCAAGGAACCTATATAGTGGCTTGGCCAGACCAAGTTAAAACCAAGGGATAATTAATAGTAACAGAATACACAAAGGACACTGACAAAACCCAAAATACTTTGACATGGAAGCAGGTGGTCTGTCCCAATTGGCTCCTCGCAGTATTTATGAGTCCTCAGCGCTCAGCCACGCCCTTTGCTGAACCAGGAGTGCTTGAGTGCTTACGAAAGCCTGTTCATTTTGGCACCAACATTTATTGTACCTGTCATCACATGCTGAAGAAAAATGACATATATTTTGACTCAATCAAGGCTCTGCTTTGCATCACTTTGTATGATAACCAAAAGTGTAATATTTTAAATTATTGATGATTTTAATTTAGAGAAAAATAGCTTTAGTATCATTTTTTTCTTGGGGAAAATAAAAATCATAATTTTGTTTCACTCCTATACAGATATTCTGACTAGACTATCTATAGAGATCTGCTGGATTTGTCCTACTCAAATATCCTCTAATTTCAAATTTGAGGAAAGTTTTACTGTTTTGAATTTAGAAAAAAAAAAAGTGTAATCTTACTTAAAATTATCCACACAACGGATCAGTATGAACAGCTGCTTTGTTTTCATCTATATAGTCCTTTTTCCCCCTAATGTAATCACTTAAACCGACACGGTTATTAAGCACAATTTGTCTTTCAACGTCAACTATTCTCCCTAAACCATTAAAAACACATCTGTTCTCATTGTCATCAGCGCTTCCTTGTTTGTCTTCTCTCTTGAATTTAAGCTGCCAGAGATTTAGTATTTTTAACGACACAGTGAAGCAGCACTTGGACAAAACGTGTATTTCTTTCAAATCTGTTGTCACATCAGGGTGTTACAGAAATCAAAAGCTTCCACGGTGTTCATATTTCATTTCCTGTGATGGAGGCGAAACCCTTGACAGTTATGGGAATTCTCCATAGTTTGAATTTGCATGTTTAATTTGTGGAGCTGTGACTAAAGCAGCAGGGTTTGACGTAGAGGTGCAGCTCGTAAAGCAGTGTTTCTCAAACTTTTACATACCAAGGACCACTTAACCAATAAAAAAACACTCGCGGACCACCTAACTCCAAAATTATCCAAAGACACGTCGTTTTTCTAGAACAGATTACAAATCGCATGCAAATGGTACAAACAAGTGGCAACATGTGTGATGAAGGTGTTGCGCTGGGCTATATCATGCAATCGAAAGTTAAACTTAAGCTCGCTCCATTGTGGAGATATTCCCGCGAGTGTGAACAACTTAAAATAATTTATTTCAAATGTGAAATTTGACCAATATACTCACGGACCACTAGGGGGCGCTCACGGACCACCAGTGGTCCGCGGACCACACTTTGAGAAGCACTGTCGTAAAGGAAGATCACAGGACTGCCGTCGCTTCGAGCAGAAACAGATCAGTTATCTTAGGCACCGGGCCAGAGGGAGTGAGAACCGCTGCACTAAAGAAAAGTTGTTTAACGCCAATTATTTAGATGAGTCATGATCAAGTCAAGTTTTTACAAGACATCTATTTACTTAGTTGTGTTTAGTCCACTTTCTCTTTGTACTTCACACACCTTATGAGCCTGGTTGAGGTTTTAACTCTCATCTACACCATTTAAAAGCTAATTAAATCAAGTCAAGGCTTATTTATATAGCTCAATACCACAAATTAGCATCAAGGGGCTTAACAAAAACCTTCTATCCTTTCCTTTTTTTTCTAAGGTGAATCAGGCAGTTGAATATCCGTTACAGCAAGGTGTATTCAACATTTCTGGTTTAGTGAGTTCTAAATGGCAACACGTTCCCACGATGTTGTCACCGTGGGATAAACTGTTGTTGCTTATTGTTCAATGCAGACTATATCTAGTTTTCGTATATATATAAATATATATGCATTTATTGTTTTCCTGCCCTAACTTTTATTTAATTTTTTCTCCCGTTTTCTTTATTTCTTTGTACTCCTTCATTTCTATAAGTTTTTGACGCAATAATGCCGCTGTATTAGGATGATGCACGGGAGGGCTACTTTCCACAAGCTATGCTTCAGCCCTCCCGCTTCTACTAATTTTGTTCATCTTTGTGTGTATGAATTACACTTTTTTTGTACTTTCAGCTTGGGGGGGCCCCCCTAGGCTAAAATAACTGGATGGCCGACCCATAACTTTTTGTTGTTGTTGCAGAAATCATGTCTGACGGTTACATTTCTAATGCCAGAGAGGCTGTCCTTAAGCCTAGTTGCGAACTCCCGGAGGACACGCTAAAGATCAGGGGCTACGACTTCAACCAGGGGGTTGATCTCCAGGCAGTGATGGACTCCTTCATCACCACAGGCTTCCAGGCCAGCAGCTTGGGATTGGCTATCCAAGAGATAAACCAAATGGTGAGAGACATCTCTCGCTGTAGCGAAGGTTATCTTACAAAAAGCACATTTACTGTACTTCTTACCTATGTCTTACCCATAGGACAATAGTCTCTGTGATTGTTTCCTACCCCAATACAACAGAGGTGAATGGGTTCTCATTGGTGGGCCACACAGTACTAAATAACCCCAAAGGAAGAATTAGAACAGCAGGTTGGCTTCCTAGAAATCACTTGATTGTCTGGAGCTAGAAAACATGACATGACTGGAATCTTTTTTGCCTTTTATTGACCTTTTATTTTGATAGCCACTACAGAGACATTAATTCTGCAGTTGAAACATTTGTAAGGAAACTGTCAGCTTCTTCTGTAGATTATCCAGATTTACAGGTTAACTGTTTCTTGTAAAATATATTTGTTTTGTTTAGCATAACAAACTAAATTCCATTCTCCTCCATTGTATCAGGGTGGAGGCAGAAATGTCAGAGACAAACAACAACTAGGGTTGCAAGAAACTGACCATGATCAAAATCGATTATTCGGCAGCCCTGGCGAATAATAATCGATTAAAACGATTAAAACAAAACAAATCGATTAAAACAAAACAAATGTTTGTTTTTTTTAATTAAAAAAAACAAACAAAAAAACTCAGACAAAATTTTTTCCGTTGTTTTCTTTACTGGAACATGTTTAACAGTACAAACAAAATAAGCGACAAATAAACCAACATCAACATGATGTTGGTTTATTTTTTGTTATTTTCTAAAATGCCTGCCATTGCCTTTATTTGGAGATGCGCTATGCGCGCACAATGTATTTGTTGCAATGCTGCCATTATTAAATACAGGCTACGGCTTGTGTTAATGATAGCAGCATTGCAATACATATTATTATAGCAATTTATTTATTGCAATGCTATTATTAATACAGGCTGTAGGCTGTCAAATGCGAACGCATTGCTGAGGTTGAGCTATGATAGACCAACGTCTTTTCGCAGAGCTTGCATTTCACTTCCTTTGTACTTATAAGTTCGAAGTAGTTCCACGAGGAGGAACTCTTTTTACCTGCCGCTTTGTTCATCTTTAGTCGCACGTGTGAGGGAGGGTGGGGGCGGGGGCGGTGTGTAGCGTGCTGCAGCAGCAGTCTGCTCTGCACGCAGGCTTCCTCCAAGTTTACAGTAAAACAAACTGGTGGTGTGACCAATGGCCATTTACAATTGTTAATACTATTACTATTATTAGCATTAGTCTATATTTTGGTTGAAACTAAGCCAGAAAAAACAAAAAAAACAAAACATAAATAATAATAAAAAAATATATAAATAAAATCGATTTTTAAAAATAATATTCGATTATGGAGACTGTAACGATTAATCGAATAATCGAATAATCGCTGGCATCCCTAACAACAACCTGGGCGCATAAAACAATAATTATCTGCATATATAAAAATGGGAAGAGATAAAGGCTTTTTGGGGGTGAACTGATCCCTTTTAAATTATATAGATTCAGTAGCCTGTGCTAATATGTAATGTTGACCATTGTTGTTCAATGACTCCCACTCACAGATAGAGAAGCGTCTTGAGCCAGTGGAGGAGGGTGAGGGAAAAGTGACGGATGAATATCGCAGCAAGGCGGGCTGCACCATCTTCCTGGGTTACACCTCCAACCTCATCAGCTCTGGAATCAGAGAGAGCATTCGCTACCTGGCTGAGCACAAAATGGTACACATTTATTACGTTTCTTAAAATATTATCCATGTCATAGTTACATCACAGAGAACATCTTAAAGGTCACCTATAGAGAACCGCAGTGACACGTCCTAAAACCCGGAAGCAAACTCCTTCCGGTTCCTTCGTCAAAAACCAATGCAATTTCTCCATAGGAATTTGGAAAATAGCTCGAAATAAGGTCTGTGGTTGACACACATTTAAGAGACGGATCACGTTTTGTTCAGCCGGATAATATCCACATGTCAACCTTACTTTTATAATTTTCTGATCATAAATCTAGTCGCCAGAAGCAAAATGCTAACGTTATACTATAAACGAACTACAGCAGGGTCGCTGCTTCAACGTCACGCAACTTAAGATCCATATTCAAAACTACAGATTCAAAATTGTTCAAGTTGAAGCGTTTGTTTTAACAGTTTGCAAGAGCGCAGGTACTTGCTTTCAAGCAGAACAGGGCAAACAAACTTAGCGGGAGTGTTTACGTGTTCGGTGTAATGACGTAAAACGGCCTCGACAACTTCTGTAGTCCTATTCAGCCACTTGTTAACAACCATCGTTTTTCACACACGTAAACTCTTCAAAAATCACCAGTGGGGTCACTGCTGATGTATTTAATGTCGTAGAACAAAACGTGATCTGTCTCTTCAATTTGTGTCAAACACAGACCTTATTTCGAGCTATAAAAAGTGGTAAAAATGCTAACTTACTTCCGGGTTTTAGGACGCGCCACTGTGGTTCTCTATTACGCAAAATCTACTTTTTCATGTCTTTTATAAATAAACATGTGTCCCATCTGTGTAAAGAGATTCTGAAAGTTTCAGGAAAAAAGATTCTCTCTCTTTTTGTCCTGATCCATTTATATAAAAACCTGTCTGAAAATGAGCTGATCAGATTTTGGCCACTTTATGATGTCATAACGATGTTTTTGGCTTGTGTAACCATTAGCCAATCACCAACCAAGGTAACACCCCCCCCCCCCACCTTATCACCTGAATCTCCTCCTCGAGCACCATTGTGTTATTTTTAACCAAATATCTCTCAGAGGGGCGTGGGGAGGGGCTCCTTATTGTCATCTAAAGTAACAGACAGAGAATCAGCACTTTTGAAACAGGGCTGAAACAGAGGGGATTATGGGATGCTACAATGCATGATCTGTTTGGTATTTCGAGCCAACCACTTCCGAGACATGTTTTGTATATAACTGAGAACTATAATATATTGATGAAAAGAGTATAATAGGGGACCTTTAACACTTTGACCAATCCAACAGGGAGACCAGTCCATCATTCTGAACCTGTCTCTTTGTTCTAGGTAGATGTGATTGTAACCACAGCTGGAGGCATAGAGGAGGATTTCATTAAGTGTATGGGTAACACATACCTGGGAGATTTCAACCTGTCTGGCAAGGAACTCCGCCTAAAGGCCATCAACAGGTTGGTTACTACATCCTCAGAACCATGCTGCATAATGGTATAAACTGTAAATATGTCACCTTTAAATTGTGAATAGCAGATGTTGCTCTGTACTAATAATGACAAAGGACAAGACACAGGTTTTAAGATGCAAATATTTATCTTGTTAAGTCTTGTACTCTATATCAGATGCACTGTTTGTTTACATCTTGATCATCCTGTGACCTCTTCCTCCTCCTCTGTCCTTGCTGGATGAAGGATAGGGAATCTGTTGGTGCCCAATGACAACTACTGTAAGTTTGAGGACTGGCTGATGCCCATCCTGGATCAGATGCTGTTGGAGCAGAACGAACAGGTGGGTCTCTCTAATAAGGACATTGTGTGTCTATTGCATGCAGCACAGTCGTATGAAATGACAGTACAGAGTTCCAAACTCTTCTATAATCGGGCTGCGACTAATGATTATTTTCCTGATCAATCACATGCCAATCTTTTTTAAACAAGAAAATAATCAAATCTATATCCCAGTTTTTCAAAGTCCAAGGTGTCTTTAAATGTCAGTCCAAAAACCAAAGATATTCAGTTGAATATGATGTGAAACAAAAAGAGAGTAAATATCATAATTTGAGAGATGCCATATTTGCACGAGAAATTACTTTCTATAATTATTAATTGATTTACCAATTAATAGGTGTAATATTCTTCTGAGCCCTTGCTCTTAACCTGTTGAACCCCATCCCTGTTTTTCATGTCTCAGGCTCGAAAAGGACATTTCCAGAACAAATGACCATAACTACACTTCTAAAAGGGGAAAATTAATAAATAATAAGATAAACCTGTGAGTTGGATGTAGAAAAGTCAGAATCAATATAGATGTTTTTTATTTTAAAGAAAATTCAGATTGAACATAGTAAAAAAACTGTAAATTATAGTGTCCGTCCAAAAATTATTTTTTACTTATAGAGAAAACTACACTTGGATGATGGTATGGTAGACTAAAAGCTTTAGGAATCCAAAGTACAACATATAATAAGTACCCTGTATCAAGATTGATGCAAAACTAGTGACATTTGACATTTTTTAGAGAGGTTTAGCAAAAAAAACTCCACCTCTGGGGTGATTTGGGTGGAAATGGGCGTTTTTGCTGTTTCTCTGGAACCCATTGGTCGATTTTGGTGATTGACATCTTTTTAACCATTAGAGCCAATAGAATAGAAGGGGAATTTCCACATACGCATCAACGTTAACAAAAAAAAGCGAGGGCTTCGTGCATGCAGTTTTGCCCAGAGCGAACCTATCTCACGCTATGACATCTGAAAACGGAAAAGTAGGTTTATTGCTTATGGATTATCAGAAATCATTTCTAAGTGACACAGACACATTGGATTAACCTATGGATTAACCTTCAGCAGCGTTTTTATCGTTTTAATGCCATTGAAGACAACTTTTGATCAGACAACGACAAAGGTAAGCCATATTCCCGTTTTTGCTACCTAGCGCCATGTGTTGATGTCTGTTTTTGTTTATAAAGTCACGAGTTCTTATCATGGAGTGATGATGTAGGTACTGATCGATTCTGTGTCTTCTCACGGTGCTAGTCGATATGTTGGATGGGCAGTTACCAGGGACGTGCACAGGTACAGGCTAATGTTGCCCGGGAAACGGCCCGTTTGGCCTTTTCGGCTGACCTGCCCCTCTGGAGAGAGCGAGAGTTTATCTTTATTTTTTCTGTTGTGGCCGAATCAACATGATAAGCCTACAATTAGTATTGTAGCATCTCGCTGCGGGAAACACACTTAAGACCACCTCAGTGTCGGATTTTGGAAACTTGATTTTGAGTTGTCTCATGGCAGTTAGGGTATAAGGGACAACCCAGGGGACTTTACTTCCTCTTGGTACTGTCGGTTATTTACAAAAAAAACACCTAAATGTAGCCTACTTGTTGTTATTGTGCTTCTGTCTTTCTGTGTCTTTCCATCTGTAAACTCCCTCAACGGGGCCGCTCGCTCTCTTTTCTTGATCGCCCTCTCACAGAGAACACTTCACTGTCCTGCTTCATTGTAGGATTTCTGCCATGTCTCTACTTTAGTTTGACCATCTCTGTTATTAAGTTATGGAATACTAAATAAATAAGTAATTAGATACCTTACCGTTACTGCGCTCATAAAGAATGATAAGAATAATGCGTATTGAACTGGTTTCATTAATTTGAGTTTATTTAAGGTAATTAGTTAGAAGCCCTATTTTATCAGAATGTCTGCACAGCAGTTACAATGGTCAAACTACATTAGAACAGAATTGTCCCCATTTTGTCTTCAATAGTTACTAACATTAGATATTTTAATGAGATATGGACCGCACATTTTTTTTCTCTCCTGGTTTTCATTTTTAAAATCGAGTTACCGAATGCAAGTTTGCCTTAGCTTATTTTGTTATGAGATGTGAATTACTGTTCAATTTAGTTGATGTAATAATCGTTTGGTTTCTTTTACATTCAAAACCAGTTACAATTTTCAAAAGGTCTTATGTTGTTTATCGGGGGGAGGCCCTTTTTCCAGTTTAGAGCAATAGCCCCTCCAAATGTCTGTGCACGTCCCTGGCAGTTACGATAAGTAATAAGGGTGTTAAACCGTGTTTCTGTGCAAGCGCCGTTAGCATTTTTTCGCTCGTGGCTAATTCAGAGGCTCAGCGTTAGCTTTGTGGTTTTTTTTGCAAAAAAGAAAAAAATTGATCAGTTAGCTAAGTTTCTTCCCGTTACATGGATATAAAACATTCATAGTTTATTAAATATTAAGAAGCCCTCAGACGCTGTTTCCTGCAGATGATGCGTTTTTCCGCCCGGGGGCGGGGGGATAGGGTTCAACCCTATGGGTTCAACAGGATTTCACTTAGGGACCGTCAATAATTCTTTTTTATTATGTGCCTTTTTGTTTCTTCCCTGGTATAATTTATGGTTGTTATATTTTAAATACATGATTTGACTATCTGACTTTACTTTAGCACGCTCCCAAAAACATACGGTAGATTTATCATTACACCATGAAGCTATCTTTTAAATATTTTTTAAATGAGAATTGTTAGGGTGTAAAACTTGAGATCTGGGACGTTTTTGAATCCAGACTGGAATAATGTCAAAGCTGTCATTGCCACAAATTAATGTAAGAATTGAGGGTCAAATGTATTAGTGGAATTGCAGAATTGTTACACCGCTACTAAACGCTGCAGTTGAATTTTATAATTTTGTCTACATTCTTTATTTTTTTTATTTTAGGGGACCCATTGGACTCCCTCAACAATGATCCATCGCCTTGGCAAGGAGATCAATAATACTGAATCTGTTTACTACTGGGCGTACAAGGTGAGATGTTATATATGTTGGTATAGGATACAAAAAAAAAAATTGAACTGCCTGAAATTCGGACAGTCCTGAAGAGTATAATAATAAACAACAATAGCACATTTCCCCAAAAATGTTCTGAATAATAAATTAATTGTGTATTTTGTTGAGTGAATGGTAATCAAGTTGTGACATGAGTGGACTATAAAACCTCTATGACCGGGTTTTTACAGTCAGTAAATATGCTTTTGTTATCTTCTATTTCAGAATAACATTCCTGTGTTCAGTCCGGCACTGACGGACGGCTCTCTGGGTGACATTCTCTACTTCCACTCTTTTAAGAAGCCGGGCTTAATTTTGGACATTGTGGAAGGTAAAAGCAGCTTTTAATGTGTCTAACAGAAAAGGATCATTGCAGCTGCCTCATCTGTTGGACGCTTCATGAGTGTGTATTTTTTTCTAGATATTCGCAGGATGAACGGCCAGGCAGTGTTTGCCAAAAGGACGGGAATGATCATCCTGGGAGGAGGGCTGGTCAAACATCACATATGCAATGCTAATCTTATGGTAACTAACTTCATGTCTTCTTTATTTATCTATACACAAACTTAAATTCACGGCAACTTTTAAATGCAATACTGCACAGTAGTTGGCCATCATTGGTGAAACGTACAACTGCACAATTTCCTGATACTTACAATTTTGTAGTTTTTAAAAAATATTAAATTAAGTTCCTCTTTGAACTATAACAGTTAATATTTACCTGTTTTTTCTAAATTATGAATACTCTTACTTTTAATAATTTCAGGGTTTATTACACCTATCTACCTTAAGAGATTCATTTCATTGCATGACTTTTAATGTATTTTTTTACATCGCAGTATTGCTACTTTTACTTCAGTAGAGCAACTTAATATTCCAACCACCACTGCTGGCCATGACGATATTGTTTAATAAAAATAAAAAACGTTGATAAAGTTAAAACATATATTTGTGCTCTCTAGATTTACACTTGTGGATGATAACCCCTGCTTTAACATGGACATTACAACACCAGTTCCCGTTCTGACGTGCTCTTTCTACCCCCCCACACACAGAGAAATGGGGCTGACTACGCTGTGTTTGTGAACACGGGTCAGGAGTTCGATGGCTCTGACTCTGGAGCCAGGCCTGACGAGGCTGTGTCCTGGGGCAAGATCAGGGTGGATGCCAAACCTGTGAAGGTACCGATATTTAAACCAATGTCTATGTTAATATACAGTAAGTGTTGCTAATATTATGCTTTCATTCATTTTTATTTGAGACATCTTGCCTTCTGCTTTATTTCTTCTGTTATTTAATATATTTCCAACATGCAGCTGATATGTTTTGAAAGAATCAAAGCATTAACAGCCGACATTAATCTTTAGGCTTTTTATATTGAAGAAATTTGTCATATTTTGACATAGTCTTACATTTTATTGCGGGGATGTATATTTTGAAACATTTTTTATAGCACATCAGAATTATTAACAAGTCAAGGTTAGCTGGATCCTTGAAGCAGTTAAGTCAAAGATGTTTCTAACACCTTTGGCCTCAAGGGGGCAGTGTCTGCACATTGTTTGATCTCATGCAGTGGGGCAATAAAGCACAAAAACCAGTGTATGACAAAGACTTAATAATGAAATCAGTTTAGTGTAGCACAACACAATTACACACAGTAAAATAAAAGTGGTACAATGCTACCGTCTCTGTTCCCAGGTGTATGCAGATGCCTCTCTGGTCTTCCCTCTAATCATGTCCCAGACCTTCGCTACCCACGCCGACAAGTTGATTGGCGGCAAGAAAACTGAGCGGCAAGAAAACTGATCGGCAAGAAAAATATGTTTCCCCACCCCCCGAAAATGCTTTATTAGAAGCAACCACCATGTGCTGATATAAGTTAGACCTTATAAAATCTCTGTTGACAATTTAAAGAAACAGCATTATATACAATGCTGAAGTTGAAAACTTTATTTATTGGGACTCGGTGGTGAACGGTTTCCTAACATTAGTTTATGTTAAAAGAAGCCTTTTTTTTCTCTATTCAAATAGTTGAAATAGTATGGGGTAGCAGGCTATTGCATGTACCAAAGAGACTGTCCAGAATGCATCAGGTTTTAGCTGTGTGTGTGCGGGTTTGAGTGTGTGTGTTTTAATAGAAACACACGTTATTTAAGAGTTATGATTTATTGATGTTTTATTGTGGAATGGTTCACTGTCCTATCACTTGTATATTACCTCATTGCTTCTCAGTTTTATCCTTACTTTCACTGTTACAGGTGGAAATATGTGTGACTTTAATAAATCATAAATAAATATTTCAGTCCCATTTTTAAAAGTCTTTGTGCACTTTGTCTGTTTAAGAAGGCCACAAGGGTCCATCATGTGATACTTCATTACACATGACATTAACAGAGCAAACAAGTTGTATGTGGCTTCTGATTTCTGGCTAAACATTTTATTTGGAGTATAAAGTTTGCAGCTTCTCAGTTGCATTTTAAATGAAAGAGAAGCACTATGCCACTTGATAAGCTCTGCCATAGATTGTATACCATTCAATTGTTCAGTTTATGGGGATGTGGAAAACTCATAAATTGAACAATGTTTATTATTAAGGTCATGGTAAAAAAGTGATCATTTTTATTTCATTAACTCATGTTACTTTGAATTCTTTAAAAAAACTTGTTTTCTCCTGCATGTCTCCACGATGAACCGAGAACCCAAAATCAGAGACAATTCTTGATGAATTGTAGTAAACTCAGTGCCTTGTTTTACCTCAGCGAAACATTTGTTTACAAAACTGTCACGCAACTCATTTACAATAATTCACGTCTAATGGATCCAGTTGTAGGCTCAACCAATTTCATCAGACATTTTCCAAATATATTTGGATTCTTCTTTCATGGTGAGAGAAACGTTTGTTCTCTCCAAGCATTCGCTCTGGGATGAGTCATTGATATACAATAGATCATCTTGGGGCGAAGTATTCCTTTAATGCCGTTTATGAGATCTTCCAACCCCCCTCCCCGAGGGGCTCATAAGAGCATCACGACTTCCGAATGTCTGGCTACAGCTCGCTCAGGAGGTGGGACTCTCAGCTACTTCCCTTTCTGCCTTCTTCAGCGAAATCAACCGCATAATGTAGTAACAATGATAAAGCCATTTCCCATTACAATACATCAGGCTGCTATTGTGGGAGTGGATATTTCCTCTGGCTAATCACTGCTCCCATATCCTTTACACACAGCCACAGTTAAATCCACAACCCAGTTATATTTGCAGGATTTGGAATGGAAATGTGGGTAGTCATTGTGTCGAATGTGAATAAAATGTATTCTCTTTTCCCAGAGGAGTTGTTGAAATGGTCAGTGTTTTTTTTTGTTGTGGGAATGGTGACCTTTTCTTATTTGGAAACGAGATGGAGAAGTGGAATTGGAACTGGGATAAGGTCAACTTTCCCAAAACCTCAGCCACATGTGACACACTCACCCACACACTTTGGGCGTTCCTGTCGTGGTACAAACTGCTTTTCCATTCAGCCCTTCTATCATTTCCTCTTGGCGGTGCAAGAGTGTGTGTGGTGTGTATACATGTGTGTGTGTGTGTGTGTGTGTGTGTGTGTGTGTGTATTTACCCAGGGTTTGACAGTTAAAATATTTCTCTAAAAGGGCAGTGTTGTATGGATTCTCAGCCCTATGGAAACTTATGTTTGCTCTGTGCTTAATGGAAAGATTACAGAGATACTGAGAGGGCTGAAAAGAGTGAGATAGAGACGTGTGTGTGCGTGCCCGTGTGGATGAGCTGCAGTCACGCTATAATAATATTGTGTGGCGTCTGCACAGAGCAGACAGTCTTTGCCCCTTCCTCCTCTATGGAACAATCAGTACACTGTGTGATGTGCAGGGCCACAGCACTCATAATGGCAATTACGTCTTCTGTGGCCAGATTTGCAGCTCTTTTTTTTTAATGGTGAGAACCAAAGAGCCAGACAGGGCAGGGGAAAGAATAAGGAAAAGACGTAGGGAGAGTTGAATTCCTGCACAGCTGCAGGGTGGGGTAGATCTGGGAGGAGTGGAGGGAAAAGAAGTCTAATACACAGAGGATAGATTTGTTCACATTAGCATATTTATAAGTGTTTATCCAAGGCCATCATTTCCACTGGGGATCACTTTTCAAAATCCTGTTTTTTTTCCTGCTCACTTTTATTGTTTCAGGTTAATTTTCACTCAAGTTCCTTTTAACAGTGTCCTCTTATCAGTGTTCTCATAATGTCCAGCCAGCATATTCCAGATAACAGAGGAGAAGTGCTGATAAAAGTGTAGCATTCACTTATTACCTTATGCTCACAGAAACTATAGTGAAATTAGAAGTTTGCTGCTCTACCCTATTGGTGAAAGGTTGTGACAGAAATTATGCAGTATTTTACACCGTTTTATTTGAGTAAGATTTGCATATGTCCTCTAATAGTGCCCTAAAAAGTTACGTGTTATTTTCCACATTGTATAGATGAGAAAATCACTAGATGTCGACAGCTGTCAGTAATGACAAATAATAACAGTGACTAGTGTAACGAATCTGAATGTACTACTCAATATGGAACACATTTGTTATAGTTAATTATAGTGAAAGAGTAAACAACAAGGGACTTATGTCAGCAAGCTTAGGATGTTGGGGGGGGGGGGGGGGGCGCTGTGTTAACCCTAAAAAAACCTGCATAAAAAAGTAGGAAGGAAAACTTGGTTAAAAATAAACGTTAGCTATATTTCCAAAGTTAATTGTCTCTTTAAAGGCATATACAGGGGTTTTCAATGGCTAGACACACAATTCAATGTTTCCTTACTTGTTTTTTATTTACATTTCTCCGTGTTTTTCGCTATTTTACTATGTTTTTTTTAGGAAAATCTGGTATACCTGTAAAGAATGCTTAGATTCAACATCAAAGCTAATCCACAGTCCTCTTTGTGATACAACCGCAGTTTTCGACTTGTATTGGGCATATTTTTCAAGTAGCGTTAATGCAAATATCTTTAATAATACATAACTGAATATCATTAAAAAAACGAATGTCTTAATGCATTTTTATCTTTTTTAACTTAATTGTTTCCCCTTCTAAAACCAAACATATGGCGTTAATTGTGTGTGAGTGAGTGACAACTGCTCCTTATCTCCACCTTTGTTTACCTGTTATGTTGCCATAGGAACTCCCACCTTCGAAGCCTATTGGCCAACCTGAAGAGGTGAGCGGCAGGTGAGACAATGCAGGTGCGTGGGTGTAGGGAGGGAGGAAGACATTTGCAGAGAGAGGGGTGGCTGGCCGACAAACAAAGACAAACCCTCCAATGGAGCAATAAATGTACAGAAGGCTTTGATAAAGGGAAGAATTAAGTAGAAGACGAGTGATAAAGGGTACGTGACTTTTTCCTCAGAAACAGGAAGTCGCCAGTTGAACCGCTTGTGACGCAGCTGTCTGAGGCTGATGACGGCCATGTGTCACTGTTGCTATAGTAACCCAATCAGGGGCAAACATCCGGATGTCTGCTCACTTCCCATGTCACCATTATAGATCCAATCATTTAAATAAAACATTAGTTCAAATTGATGATAAGGCGAGATTTGCTTTGGTAGAAGAGTAGGTATGAAAGTTAAAACAATACATTTTCACATGAGGCAAGGGCAATTCAGAATAGATATACAGAGTTGATAATGAGTATTTCACATGGTTGATACAATTAGCTTATGTCTTTCTTTTTGCCTTATTATGCTTTTTGGGGTTTACCCGTTCCTGTAGTGTGTTATGTAGGTTTTTGTGCGTTGTCTAAGCTAAAATCCTCTATTGTTTTCATTTGTTTTACATCCTTAACATAGTGACTTCATACGCTTCTATTGGCTTGTGCCCCAATGCATTGTAAGGCAGTATGAGAAAATTCAAGCACTTTTTGAACATTAAAGCATGTACAAAACATGTAGATGCACACTATACAAATGTTAAACCTGACAATGAGCATAATAAGGCCCCTTTAATGTTATTTTATAAACAGATATGCCGAATCTCTTTATAACTGAGTTTAACCACATTGCATCATCCCTCATCACCATAGACCGGAAAAAAGAGGATGTAAGTGACAGGTTTCCTTTAACGTTTGGGTATTTATATGCTTGATGAATACAAATAATACTTATAATCTTTTATTTCATGTTATAGTTGCTTATATATACATGATATATAATTTCAGCTAAGAAAATCAGTTCAAGTACTGATGTGAGGTTTTCACACAGTTTGTTTATTCGAAACTCAATTATTAATATTTTCGGTGGTTTACTGACATCCATAAACTTGCAATCAAGAGGCACAAAATCAAGTTTGGTTGAAATCTGATTACCCGCACTATTGTTCAATTATATTTTCATCTCTAAATAATGCTTAAAAATAGAGCAATTGTGACTGAATATTTGGACATGTTATAGGAACCTGAGTCATTTTCATGTGTTTTAGGTTGCTGGCAGGTTGTTGAATTAACAAAATGAGAAGTCAGATTGAAAGCAGAGTTTATATCGTGCAACTGGGGCATGGAAGTGGACAAAAAATACAACTAAAATCAACCTGGTCTCCAGAGTGTTACAAAAAGTGGAAACAGTTGCATAATGGTACATTGCAGTAATGTCAGAGGACGTAAATGACAGATAACAGCTTTTCATAGCTCCAACTCTTTGGAGGAAATTATGAATATGGGTATTCAGTTTGTGCAGTTATGGTCTTAAGATTTCCTGACATTACAAGACTTAGATTTCAAGGAATGAGGTTAGCATGGGCACAACATGGACACCCTCATAGCTATGAATAATAGATTGTCGCTATGTAGAAATGCAGATATTCTAGTGTTGTTCCCACTCAGTCATCTCTGAAAGATTTCCAGCTAATGTGTGGTAAAAGTTTTAGAAGGGGTAACGCAATTCACAAGAGGTTAAAGTTAATGTTGCATAACTGAACTGTGACCAAAATAAAGCAACACATGGTGTAAATGGATTTGTTGTCATAAAGACGACAAAGTCATCAAATAACCTGATGGATTTGAGCTGAGTGGAGGAACTACAGTGAAATGTCCTGGTCTGAAATTGGGAATAAAAAACAGAATTGTAGTTCCTAGGTTAGGCACTTGTGAAGAAACTTTAACTCCGTTCAACTTTTAATTTTTTAATTTATTTATTTCACAAAAAATGGTACCAACAACAGGCATAAAACCGACACAAAAAAGCTTTGAAACCTGAAAAAGAAATCAAAAGAAATCAAAAACGGTGAAACACATTTTTCCTCAGACCTTATTAAGAAACAGTTTATAACAAGAATGCATTTGAACATATTTCTTTCTTTTTACATACATTGTTGGTCAAAGTACCTTATAAGGTGAAGACATTTATGGTCTGTAAATGCAATAAGACGCCAGGCATAAATCCAAGTAACGTGTTTCATTACAGAATGTGAGTGTGCACATCTGTCGAGGAAAACATTGAGACAAATGGTTTTAGCATAAAGTGAACCAATATTTCATAGTTTAGAAATGCATTTATTAAAACATGCAGTTACCACAAAATCCAGACTTTGAGACGATTGCTACAGTCATTATTCAACATAGTGGCAATAAAATGACCTGTGTGTATGTGTGTGTGCGTGTGTGTGAGAGAGTGGAAAAGAGACCAGTCTCCTGTTCCTGCTGAACTGAGCCAGTCGACATCACACACTGATTATCAGCACAGCAGGCACAGGAGACTGACCCAGCAGGGGGGAGGGAGGGGGGGACAAGGGTGACTTCACACAGTACTGTTCCAAATGAAAACCACTTTACTGCCAACTGTTTTAGATGGTGACACACACACAAACACACACACACACAAAATCAGTCAAACAGACACTGATGCTCATGCAGAAATCAACACGTGGAAGCCAAGACAACAAATTAATGCAAACACAAATCCCCCCCCCACTTTAAAAGAGCATGGCAGGCAGCAATGCAGATGACGACATGAGATGACATGTTCCTTGCCCTTCGGGGACAGGAGCTGTCTTCGACTCTAATGAGATGGCTGACATTTAGCAGAGGCTGACACGCTGATGCCACACAATTTCAGCTTGTTCAGCAGATTACCAGTTATTACCAGAAGCTCATGGATGGTGATAACTGCTTCTCAACAGTTATCTTGACCACAGTGCAACACCGAGTCATATTTGGAGCACACACCTACTCCACCACACATGCTCGACACACTTACTGTTATGACGAGGATATCGGGGTCTTTTTTTGGTGGGAGTCTAATAGTATTTTTGTTCAATTGAGAAGGAACATGTTTTTACCTCTTTATTGTAAGACTGTTTTAAAAGAGGAAGTGTGTTTCGATTTACCCGTTTTTTTATGCTAACTGGCTGAGCTACACTACGTAGTCAATTTACCATCCACATTCAGTGCAGTTTTAACTGAATTTCCAGAAAATGCTCAAATAAAAAGAAAGTAAACTTATTATACTTTCCATCCATTTCGACCACTTTTATTAGGAGTTTGGCAAATTCGGAAATGTTTCTTTTGAAATGTCACACATTACAGATGACAAGTTAATTGGTAATGTAACTCTGGATTACTTAATCTATACATCTTTATAACTCAAATTAAGATTAAGAACAGGGCAGCAGAGTGCATTTTATATATTCCATATTTTCTCAGTAACAGATACTAAATAAAACACTGGATTGAGGTAATAAATAGGTTCTCATTCTTTAACCAGGTGCAATTACATCATTGAAGAGAGTTTAATGACTTAAAGATGGACAGTCAACCTCAAATGCAGTTAAAACATGATGGAAATATGCTATTCATGTTAGTTTAATGTAGTGATTAAATTAGGTATTTGAATTGATATCCATGAAAACAACAAGATGGATCCACTCTATATCTATATACAAGTAAATTAATGTAAATAGTGGTGGTTTGATGCAGTCCGGCCCCTCCCTGACCTTTACTCTCCTCCAGCAGGCTGCAGCCCTGTGGCGGCAGAACTTAACCACTGTGAACATGGCAGACACTCACTGCTCACATGTGGGCTAAGTCCTGCTGCCGCAAAGCCAGGTCCTACTGGCATCTGGCTTTTGCAGAGAGCAACAAGGGCGTGTATGCAAATTAGAAACACGGGCGTGACTGTGTGCGAGTTATCAAATTAGTGTGCGTCCGTGTTTGTGAGAATTAGATGGCTTTTTTCATGTCAGCCATTGGAAATCCCTGGCAATGTGATTCAGTCCTGTAGTCTCAAAAATCACTCTACCAGGAATTCCCCTGGCCATCAGAGACAACAACAATTTGTGGTGAGAGGAGGATTTAAAGAATGCACAAAATAAATAAAAAACAACCCCCATCTTCGTCGCCTCTAATACTTATCGTGAGAGGTTCTTTCCCTCCTCTGTGTGAAAGAGTGAATTATAACAGTAGAGCTTCATCGTTGTCATTCACAGGTCACAGTCATTCTCAGCCCTGTGTGTGTGCGTAGTTCTTGTCAACTCCCAGACTTCCCGTGGCCTCTTATAAAAATAGCTTTTCAATGACAGAATGGAGAATTAGTTTGGAAGGAAGTGGCCAGTGAAGTGGCACTCCCTTTAAATACGTTTGCCCCGCTCTGTTCTGGCTCTTTATCTGTGCCCCTTGTGTGGAAAAAGAATAGTCTGGAGAGCACTGTGCCGTGTTTCCTCTGCAAGTACATACACTCACCCCCCCCCCCCCCCCTGGAGCAGCACCTCTTATTACTCTGGATTCCTTTCTCTTCAATTTTACCTGTCTGGATATATTCTGATAATTGAATGACATTCCAAGCTCCCAATCCACTTTGAAAGCTATTCTGCCATCCTATTCAGGTCTCTCTATTTTCAGCAGCATGTACAAGTTGTGAGTCAGTGGGACGCTTTTGGGGAACTCCAGACTCTAAATACGTTTTATCCGGATGTCTGTTGTCACTGTGGGGCTGCTGCAGGGCTGTGCTAGGGGCGCAGTGAACTTGCAAATGATTGCTAATGCTGTTTCACTGTCTGAGAGGCCAATGTTCCTTTCAATGGGGTCAAATCAACCAATAAGGCCAATTACTACACCTCAGAAAACACAGGATTTGAGGTTTCTCTCACTATCAGCTCTATTTAAACTTTGTGATTGTCTTTCTCAAACTGAATACTGTGGAAAAAACATTTCTGAGACACTAACTTACTTTAGAACCAGGTATCAAAGGTATTTAGGTATTTAAATATCTACTTAAAAGTGAATCTTAACCCATCTTGCCTTTTTTTTCTAACTGTAATCTTAATTTTAGTTTTCTCTTATGCGACATCATGCATTATATCCATGGTCAGTCTCCACATGTTCATAATAAAACGTTCCATCTCAGAGAAGCAGGTCGTTTAGGGTCCCAGCACCCATCAAAGACAGTACGCTAACTCCTTTTTAACTCCACTCCTCCATCAACCTAAAACCCTCTATCCCGCCACCCTTTCATCTGGCAGTGTCTCGTCTCGTGTGCTATTTTCTCTGCCTTTTCATCTTTTCCATCGGTTTCTCTCTTCCCCTTCGCGGTCCCCCCGTCGAACCCGCAGCCGTTAATGTGTATGAGCTCATTCCTTCCCTTCCCTGTAATGACGGCGCTCTGGTTGACGCACGCTGTCCAACACTTCACCTCAAAGCGCTGGCTGTGAGGATCCTAACATGTCTCACTTTAGCATTTGGCCTGTCTTTCTTTTAGAGTGCTACGGTGGCAACCTGTTGTTAACACTTTTCTCAAATTTGGTGTGTATTACGGTTAGGAACAATCACAAAGTGCTAACATGCTGGCTGCGACTTATTGGCAGCTCATAGTTTGTGCTAACGTGTTGCATCCCGATGGAGGCACAGTATAGGAAAATGAGTGTCACTGGATGATGACTGGCAGCAGATGTGCAATGATTGAGTGAACATGTTTTTAGAGAGTGTCTTCATGGCATACAGCCTTGTGTGCGGGTGCTTTGAAGGTTTCAGGGTGTACACTTAACGCTAAGTGTGTGTTCTACTAAGTTTATATTCGCGCACACGACCTATGGAGGCCGTGTAGACGTGGCCACGGGCTGTTTTCTCCAAACCGTCTCTCCCCTTCAGACAGAGCGCAGAATTGACATTGCCGTTTACACAAGGGCACACAGTTAAGTGGAAAAGCCTCTATTGAGACAGCTGGATCTCAACCCCTTGTTGTTTCAACATTATCTTCTCTCTCCCTATGCCCTTGCACACACACACACACACACACACACACACACACACACACACACACACACACACACACACACACACACACACACACACACACACACACACACACACCACACACACACACACACACACACACACACACACACACACATCAAAGGCCAGGCACAATCTGCCTCTCCGCACATAATGGTCTCAATATCAACAAACAAACACAGTTATCACAGTGGGCCGCCAGGCAAACATGGCATGTGCTTTCACCGGGCTTCTTACTCTGTGCCACAACCAGGAATAGTACAAATACATACCAATCTGACATCATTCACACCTCCAGGCTGTGAAGCGCTTCACAGAGCAAACAGTGAGCAGGGCGACTTGTGGGCTGGCTGTTCACTGCCATTGTGCACTTCATTAATTATTATGTATCAAACTGAAGCATATTTATAGTTTGTATATTTCCGTAGCATCAGAGAATTTTACAGAGTGTGATTTGTTTCCAACCTCAACCTCATGAGAAATCGATCTAATGGTTCATGACATTATGTCAACACTTCAGCACAAGGGTTATAATAAAGTCTGAATTCCTTGCTCAAAGGGTAAATTAGCCATGTTTGCTTTTCATCATTGCTGTTATATCAATTACACCTATAAAACACACTCGCCCTGATGAATGCAGAGGAAGACAACACTATTCAAAATAGTGAAGAGATGAGGATGAAGAGGAACGATGCCTGACACAGCAGAAACTGTAACAGCACTTCCTGCAACTTACTGCTAATTCAGTTTCCTAACCCCGACCAATAGAACTGCAAAACTGTAAAAAAAAGACTGCATTACAGAACGCATTCCCAATGACTCAAACATAGCTCTTTGAACTCACACACCTCACAGTACCACACCCTGGCTCTCTAACTACCAGACAGACTGTTTGTCTGGGTATGTGTGCGCATGTGAGAAAGATTGTATGTGTGTCATGTTGCGTGTGAGGGAGTAATTATTGCTGAGGCCGTGACATTCAGTGACATTCAAACAAGGACTCGCGCTCTACTAACTATGGGACCTCTCTGCTGCATTTTTCTTGAACCAAAGGGGAACGCTCATTGGCTGGCCTGGAATCAATGGAACGCACCACATGTGGGACATTAGTCTGAGAATTTAAAACGTACTTCCAGCTCCAAATTTAACACCAAAAAAAAGTAAAGCTTTAGCCTCAGCAATGAAGAGCCCAGCCCAAGCTCGTGGTCCGCTCGCTGCAGCCCAATGCGTGTAACCCTATCCTCGGCCTGATTCGTAGCCAAACACCCTCACCACCACCAGCCCTGTATTTAGAGTATAGCCGCCCTGCTGCCACTGAACCACACATGCACAAATGGATGCAGTAACTACACACACACTTTTATTCCACTACGCCACGGTTTCCTGAGCCCGGGCCAATTTCTGAGGATTGCTGCCGGGCACACCCGCCCACCCACCCCACCAAAACCAAGGCTTTCCTCAAAACCTTGATCCCCACCTTCTCTCCTCCTTCTACTCCTTCTTTCCTCCAATCAATCATCCATTAAGCCTTTCCTGCTAGGCTTTCCAATCTATTGATTTCCCTCAGTAAAATGGCAGATAAACTTCCAACAATCCTTTTTTGGCCGCAGAGGTTATCTTAAGTCATACTCAGTTGCATACAGAGTAAAGCAACAGATCCATGTGTTGGACTAAATCAAGTTATTCTTATCTTGACTTTTCTATGTGCGTCATCATGTCAATGCTTCATTTCACCTTCCACTGCCTGTTCATCACTTCCAGAGGGGAACCAGACAGGACAGTGGACAGGAAGACGGAGACAGCCGGTCCTAGCTGAAACTGGATTAGCTACAGTAGCCGCTGGATTCCCTTCCTTTCATGGAGGTTTGGGAGCTCGCAGACTTACAGGGCCTCTGAACAATGAGAGGAATGTTCCAGCGGCTCTGGCATTGCTTCACCACTACCATTACGTCTCTCTGCTCCTTTTCGAGAACTTTTTATGACCTCTGTTCCCACTCTCTTCTGCCAGCAACACCCCGCAGAGAGACGCACAGACTGACATGCAGACAGACGGATAATGTGGCGTACGGATAAGATACATAATGTGAGCAGACAGTTGGAAAGGAAGGCAGACAAACAGGTAGAGGCAAACTCATTATGCAATTATTAATTCAGACGGTTGGAGTTATCATCGCTAAAGCAAACAGACAGAGTGGCAGACAGAAAGACAGGCAGACAAAAATTAAGCCATCCCATTCAAAGGAACTATTTAGGGCTGACCTTTGTAATAGAGCCGGTCCACAGTTGCAGACCTAAGATCAGGGCAATATTCCATTTGAACAGCAGGCCCACTTTACTGTCGCTCCGTGTGAATATCTGTCCCGATCAACAGGTTGCAGGAGTTGCTGTGAAGTGAGTGTGAAGTGCCCCTCTGTGGAAGACCAGTGATTCAAGACACACACACACACACACACACACACACACACACACACACACACACACACACACACACACACACACACACACACACACACACACACACACACACACACACACACACACACACACACACACACACACACAAAGTCAAAGAAAAGCGTACAGATTTGCCAAGTCATAAAGTCATAAAAGGCAACAGTCAACTTGTGAGAGGAAGGAGACACGATGCTGCACCTACCTGAGAGTACAGTTTGTACTCGTCTCCTCTGTCTCAATGTCACTGTCCTTATGCTCTCCAGGGTCACACTCTGAAGTCGAACTTCACAGTTGTCGCCCCCCCCCACGCTCTATCTTTCTCAGTGTTTGTCTGTGTCCCCCCACTCCTCGTCTCGTCCCGTGGGTCTGTTTCTCCTTCGACTGTGCAGACAGGAGTGTGTGTGAACGCGAGTGTATCTGGGAGCCAGACAGGGTGAGAGTAAGAGAGTGGGCGGGCCCGCCTCAGAGCAGGGGATTCCTTTATGACGATGTCAGAGAAGAGGAGCCCTCCCCTTTCTTGTCTCCTCTCTGCCTCTCCTCTCCTTCCCTCTCCTCCCTTCTCCTCCCCTGTGCATGGCTGAGGCTGCTGCTAGAACACAGGAAAGGGGGCAGGGAGATAATTGGCCGTGCAGCTGCTAATAAATGAGCAAAGGCTGTTTGCAGGAAGACGGTCTAAATGTGCAGTGTTTAGTGGACAAACACTTGTAACACGTTGTCAAGTGATGTGAAAGTTCCCAAAAAGCCAAAGAAAGTGAAGATTTCTGTCTTTGTCCGACAATATCAAAGGGAACGTTATTATTATTATTATCCTACAGGCAATGTTAATAAAAAAATAATTCTTATAGTATTTGTAGTAAGATGTCGGATTATGCTCTCTTTATTAAACTGGTTTTCAGAGGTTTGTTTTAAAAAAATGTTTTTTAGCCTTTATTTATACAGGTGTAGATCTCATTGAGACACAAGGTCTCATTTTCAAGAGAGACCTGTTCAGTGGTAACACTACCACACAAAGTTACAGACAGACAGGACACTAAACACAGAGGCAACACTAAAATACAACATGGTAAAAAAAGTAGTCATTGAAATCCATATACAGTCAGATATAGCAGGTGCAAACACCCACAGATGATTTCTCCAGCTTTTTTAAAATGAGTTTAAAATCCGTGATGGTATCAAACTGGTCAGCTTAAGTTCCTGCTGAAGTGTGTTCCAGGTCGAGGGGGCAGAGTATGATATGGCTTTTTTCCTAAGCACCGTGCGTACTGAGGGGACGGACAGAGTGATGTGATTTTGAGATCGTAGTCTATAGCTGTACTGTTTGTGTGATATGTAGAGGGGCAGCAGTCCAAGCATAGCAGTATAGATGAGTTTGTACCAGTGCAGTGATCTGCGCATTGATAATGATGTCCAGTTGACTAAAGCGTACAGCGTGCAGTGGTGTGTGAGGGGTTTACAGTTGGTTATGAACCTCAGAGCCCCATGGTAAACAGCGTCCAGCAGATGAAGGGAGTGAGCTGAGGCGTTCATGTACACAACATCCCCGTAGTCCAAGAGCGGCAAAAATGTGGCAGCTACAAGCCGTTTCCTCGCACTTGTGGAGAAGCAGGCCTTATTTCTTAAAATTTCCTTAAGAGATTGTCAATATGTGGTTTGAAGCAGAGATTTTCATCTATAGTGATGCCTAAGTATCTGTAGGTGTTAACAGCTTCAATGGGGTTATGCTGTGCAGACATGATGCAGGGAAGAACAGTAACTTTTTCTTATTGGAAAACAACATGACTTTTGTCTTATCTGAATTTAACACCAACCTAAGGTGGAACAGATGTGACTGAAAAGTGTCAAAAGCAGACTGCAGACGTTCAAATGCAAGGGCAACAGTGCTAGCACAACAGTACACAACAGTATCATCTGCATATAGATGTACAGAGGCATCAATACTTTGACCCACATCATTTATATAAATAGTAAAAAGGGTCGGTCCCAAGATCGAACCTTGAGGAAAGCCTCTGGGCACATTAAGAAAGCTTGAGGAGAGACCACTGAATTTGACACATTGCTTGCGATTTGAAAGATAGTTTGCAAACCAACCAACAGCTTGGTCAGACAGGCCTATATGGGATAACTTCTGGCATAGAATGCCATGGTCCACAGTATCAAATGCCTTGGATAAGTCTATAAAAAGGGCAGCACAGTAGCTCTTTGCGTCCAAGCCTTCAACAATGTCATTCACTACTTTCAAAGCAGCCGTTACTGTACTGTGCTGCTTCCTAAAGCCTGACTGGTGAGGAGAGAGAATGTTGTTCAAGCTTAAATATTCTTTGATTTGATAATTCACTAGCCTTTCAAGTACTTTAGCTAAAATAGAGAGCTTGGAAATTGGTCTGTAATTATTCATCACCATGGGATCACCACCTTTCAATAAGGGGAGAACATTTGCAGTTTTCCAAACATCTGGAATGACATTGCTTGTTATAGAAAGATTAAAAACATGACAAAGTGGTTTGGCTATAATATCTGCAGCTAGCCGTAAGAAATAAGGGGGGAGATCGTCCGGGCCTGCTGAGTTTTTGGGGTCTAGGCCCTTTAGAGCCTTACCAACCTCCCCTTTTGCTTTTATCCGATAGTGTACACTTGTGTTTGCATCATGTGGATATTTGTATTTGTTAAAATAGGATATGATATAACACCTTTAATAGTACAAATAACTTTTCAAAGAATTACATAGACAAAATTATCGTAAAAAAGGCCCACAGGATATAAAACCAAGGTAAAAGTCATACATGTTTTTGTTGAGTTGAGCATTATGAAGTCTATTGAAAGATGGCAAAGATTTTTATAAGGTCAAACCCAAACTGTGACTTTTGAAGCTGAGGATTTTTTGACAGATACGCAACCATGCTGAAATAGTGATACAATCGTTACCTTATCAATTCTGAATGTTTTTGATAAAGTTGGTGAGAAGTGACTTTGTCTCTTGTTTTGGTGAAACTTTAAGCTGCTTTTACCCAGAGGGACTTAAACTGGGGCAAAAGTGCAGGGTTTCAGTTATCAAAGCAAAAAGAGATACACAAATGTTCCAGATAACTTAAGCCTGATGCTTTTCAAATATGAAAATGAGTGAGAGAAATCTTTGGGTATGATTCAACAGATACAATGTAATTGAATTAAATTTGAGTTTGCGTGAGACTCTTTGTGGTGTCACAGCCAGGGCAATTCTTCTTCCATGTGTTTTACTGATAGCGAATATAAATAATCCTATATACATCACCACTGTTTTAAATCAACGATTACTAGTTGTGTTTTCACTTAGAAAACATCTGAAACTTATGAACATCAAGGTCTTTGCAGATTCAAACCTGGGTTAGGCTGTTGTAGTTTTGCGTGTGTGTGAGATGTTTGTGTTCAAATCAAGCTTGATCTGCACCTGTCAATAATAGGACCCCCTTCCATCTACACACTATACCCTTCCCCACAGAGAGACAGTAACATGAGCTTCAGAGAGGGGCTATTAGAGGCTTTATGACTTCCCCTTCTTTCCCCGAAGACTTTGGGTGTGTGTGTGTGTGGCCATGTCTGTGAGTGTGTGTGTGAGCGGCACAGACAACCACGCCCCTGCGAGGGAGCGGACGTCACACATTCCACAATCACATACACACTCATGTGTCTCTTAGCAACACATACACAGCTTAGTGAAATGACTATGCCAGTAAGACACATCACCGCGGCACATCGTTTATCCTCAGATGGGATAATGTTTTGTTTATGGACCTCAGTTTCTATGTTTTCTTCGGCGGGGATTTACAACTTTGCATAGCAGCCGGATTTGAACGAAGTCTAATGAATACCTTACCTTTTTGATTGTTGGTTAGCAAAGATTACTTGTGGTGTGGCTGAAAACTTTCCCAATCTGCATCATGTGTTTTTTCTTTTGTGTAGAAAATTTGTATCAATGCATGAACGCTGATTATGTGTTCAAATTAGGCCATTGTAAGACTCATTGTATGAAAATACAATGAGTCTGAAGACACTGTAGTATGTGATAAACTCGTCTCTGGTAAAAACAAATTAAAAACAGCCCCAAAAACGTTTCCATCCCCGGTCTGTGGTCTAAACCTCAGTGCGTGCCATGCACACTTCCCTTTCATTTTGCCTCACAAAGATGACAATTAGCGGACCCGCACGCAACACCAGTACTGTAATGAGTAAGATGACACACATCTGTAGCAAAGATTCTCTCAAAAGCTACTCAACAACTTTCATTTCTGACCAATACCACCTCTTTCAGCCTGGATTAAATCTGATCCAAATAAACGTGGTATGAAGCTGTAGATAGGCAGCCATTTCTGGCTTCTTTTCTACCAATGCCAGTTAACTGAGAGCAACTCTGGTTCGCATGTTCTGCAATCATTCCTGCTGGCAGTAAAAACTGATGCTGCAAGAGACTGCTATGCTTCTTCTTACCCTGAGGGCATACTCTTTATGGTTCTGTTAAACATTATATACTAGCCTATATATATTATCTACTATAGACATATCTACACTATGGAAAGTGTAGTGATATGTTAGCATGGTTGTAAATGCTCCAGCTGCGTATGCCTTTCAACTGTTGTGTCCATTTTCAAAAGATAACGTGCAGGTGTACCTATGGCAATGTGTGAGTGTGTGTGCAGTTTGTGTAAGCATGTGTGTATAATAAAGAAGTCATTCATTACAACTTTGGCCTCGAAGGTCACTGTTAGCTGCAGATCTAGAGCTCCAGTGGGTGAATGTGTCGTCTTTAGTTAATGGTTCATTGAGAATATTGTTACATTGTACTGTATATCCTGTTTTACGTTAAAGGTTGACGTACAGACCTTTATGTTTTTGACTGTAAAAACTGTTTCAAATCATGACTTTCAATGTTTAATCTCACAGTTATTTTTGATAGTGTATGTGTAACGAAGACGTCGTCACTATTTGCATTACAGCACTGACAGTCATTCAAACAACCATACATCCATTTGGTCATTGTGTTCCTGGGTCTCAAACAGATCATCAAAAATAGTGCCGCTTTAAATAGCTGCAGGTGTGCTCATTTCAAAAGTACCATGTTAACCAGGAAGCATGGGTAACACTATTTCCTTATAACAAAACATGTCATTGTTTGGGGGTTTAATAATCAGAAATGAGTAGAATCTGATGATTCATTATTTTAAGATAACTGGGTGTAAATGTGTAGCTTATTACAATTAAGTTAATTAATTTGATCAACAGTTGGTTGGCCTATGGGGAGGGGCTTAATAAGCCTCTCGCCACAAATGCTTTGGGGGAGTCTAATGGTGGCTGTATAGCAGACAGGTGACCATAACAACTTTTTTTCAGCAAGCTGTATATGTATATTTTTCACTCTCTGTTTTTGGGTTGGACGTCCAAGAGAGT